AAACAACAGAAGCACAATCACCCAAGTTCCCATTATCCTCAGGGGTAAACAAGGAATAATGTGAACACACTAAGTACCTCACTAACTGAAGCCAATATACAGTAAAAAAAATAATACAAATTTGTGTTAAACACAAGACCAACTGCTCACTCAGGAAGAGGAAACAAACCAACACAAACCACGGATGAGAAAGCAAACTAATGTCCCAGATCCACGAAGGATACTGTGTAAACCGAATGTCAGTTCATAGTAAAAACATCAGGTATCGTGTCACCAGTAATTAAAAGAAAACAGTATGTAACCTACATGACTTTATTAAATAAGATTTTCTATAAACGCGGACGCAAAGTACCGATGTAAACACCGTAGTCAAGTACAAGTTACATTACCAGATGTAAACACGCGTAGTCAAGAACAAGTTACGTAACCGGATGTAAATATGTGTAGTCAAGAACAAGTTACATTACTGGATGTAAATATGTGTAGTCAAGAACAAGTTACATTACTGGATGTAAACACATGTAGTTAAGAATAAGTTACATAACCGGATGTAAACACACAAAATGAAGGCACGGAACGCGAGAAGTGACCGCGAAAACAAGTGCTTGTTTACAGTTGTAAGTGCAAATGCCGATGATGTGGGTCGCGCTCATTCTCATTCACACAATGAAGTAAATACAGTGAAGAATAAATAAACAATCTAAGAAGTTCAAGGACAAAGTCCAAGATGAGAAAATTATCTAAGTAGACATATCGTTTATACAGATTGTCTCCCAATATCTGGCACTAATATTAATAACTAGTATCAACTAACTTATAATAAATAACTGCAGTGTTAGTCAATATTCTTATCATCACATAATGAACACTTGAAGTACAGTGATCCCTTGCTACAACTCTACCCTCGGGGTCCAAATAATTGATGAGCGTTATCGATGATCAGCGGTTTAACTGAGGTGGAGTCGCAGGTGGTAGATGACCAATAAAACAGTATACAGGCTCTGCCTACCTAACACCATCTACGTTGCACGTTTCAGAGTTTAAAAAAAGATTAGAATAGAAGTTGTTGATGATTCATAGTGTGAAAAAACATTTATTGAGTATTAATGTGCGTTTTAAAAAACCCCCACATCATATCCTTTCAGCAAATTAAGATGAATAAACAGGTATAACAGACTTGGTCAGTATAAAGATGAAATTTCATATAAAACATCACTACACATGATGATTTACCATTTAAGTTGTATTTCCTGCTCCCAAAGGCATTGTTTTATATGCAGTGATTAAGATTACGGTGTGTATTTTCTTGTAAACTAAGCCGAAACTAGCAATCAGTTGTGCACACGTTTACTCCCAATCTACTGGTGATACAGTTAAAAAGTACCCAATGATACAACTTGAAATAATTTTTATGCAATGGTCGGAAGAAGTTGTATCTGAAATTATTTTTATCAGGAATAATATATTCCAAAGTTGTGTTATTTTAGATGCAGCTTTCACTATATATATTTAAAATTATAAGAACCATAAGCATAGCACTTTGGTACAGGTGGTATGCCGGTAATATTTTTATGTATGGAACAATCTGACCAGTCACCATAGGGACTTCCCGCGATACATGTAATTCAATTGCGAAAACATTATGTTCACATTTAATAGTCCCAAAATTATTGTAAACATTATTATAATTATATAACTAGATAGTATAATAATGGGATTGAATTGAGTACTTCAGTTCGGATTTGTTGACTTGTATATCCGGTGTTACCTTCTCGCGATGATCAGCTGATAGTGTTGTTTTTTTTAGATTGGGGAAAAACATCGTGTTAGTGTAAAGCTTGACCTTATTGAAAATGTAAGTAAGTTTTGGGAGCTATACGTTACCGCATGCTATTTTGAAGGTGCAATAGCGAGGGAACAGTGTACTTAAGATTTGCATTCTGTATCGTGGGGTATCGATAAATAGACCCATGTGTATTGTGGGTCAGGAATATCGGTGTATCATTTCACCCTTAATGGCAAGAGGGCACGGGTGGCCCTTTGATTGTGGGTTTTGAATCCCGGTTCACCCCAATTATGTTTCTAGGTTAAGCCCAACTCACTCACTCACTTAATGGCAAGGCTCATACAGGCTTTAAAAGGCCTTGAATTTGAAGGTCTCTCTTTAAAAGCCTTGATTTTTGTGTCAAACTTGAAAAGCCTTGAAAATAACCCAAATAGCTTGAAAAGCCTTTAAAGGGGCACTGATCTAACGCAATTCCCCGGACTGGTTGTTGCCTTTGTTATTGTTTTTTCCCCCGTGAGTACCCGGATGATACGCAACGCAACTGAGCGTGACCAGAGACTGGGCTACCGTCTGCAAGGACAGCTAAATAAACTTGGAGGCTGGAGGCAATATTTGTTTTACGCATTTTTGCATAAACACTGATTGGTTTACTGTGATCTATACAGATTTCGACAAAGGGCGCATGTTAATTAATTTCTTCAGCCTAAACAAGCAGACAAAAAGAACAGCGGAGCTCATCGGATGTCGTCATTTGGAAATACCCCAGATGGTTATAGTTTTATACTAAAAAAAGTATCCATGCAGTGAAAGCATTTTCAGATTTTGGCTTGCGTCGATAATACGATTACTACTCCCTTGTTGACATCCACGTTTTCTCATATAACCCTTCACTTGTGTATTTGTCGTCATTCACTTGATGCTCAGTTAATGAATTTATTACAGGTACAATTAGTGGTAGCACCAGTTAGATTACCTGACAAAGGTTCCCATTTGGCATTTATTGTGTCTGGGGTAGTTATTCAATCTAAATCCAGGTTTGAAGTGAGGTGAAATGTGTGTTATGTAATATGCACGTGGCAGCCCAGCAAGAGATGAATGATCAGTTGATTTATTTTTTTGGTAAATCAACGGAACGTTCCTAGTCATCAAAGGATTAACAGAAAATATGTTGATTGATTAATCACTGTTATCTTGCACAGTGGATATGTCAAGAGTGAGTGTTTACATGTCTAGGTTTACTAAAACAAAGGGAATACACTCATACCATGGCGTGAAGTGCCGATGTAAAAACAACATACTTTGTTCAAAGGGTTAACTTATAATACGTTGATTGATTGATCATTGTTATCTATCACTCAATGGATTTTTTAGGAACCGTGAACGTTATGAAAATAGTTGTCACGTGGGCTTTCTCAGCCGACCATTGAGACTTGACACCTATGTAAAACACCTGAAACAATCCAAGTGATCAGTTGAGAAACGAACACAGGTTATAATATCCCGAAACGACATATATCTTTTAAAATATTTGATTGTTACTGAGACACGTGACATCGATTAAGTTTCTTTGTACATCTGCAGACGAGTGGGATATTGTTCCTTTGTGTGGATATTCACGGATACATTCCTCGAACAAGGACGCTGCCTAAAATTTATACACATAAATTTGGTAGGTTGTAATTATGATATTTGCATTTTGTTTTCCTTCATTTGAACCGATTCGTTCTTGTTTCTCTACGTCTTGGTTGAGAAATTCTTCAATGCGGGATAGACGTTGTTTTCACAGGTCTTTTCCTTTGTAAGCGTGTATATATTACCGTCAATTTGTAAAATGTGATTCTCTCAGGCAATTTATAAAATGTGTAAATATTTCAGTCATTTTGACTAAAAAATCTGTCCAGATTGATTAAGACGATCAAAAGGGCCTACAAACATCACAACAGATTATTATGTAGGATTAGAAGCCAAACAACATAGAAATGTACTTTTCTCAACGTAACATTTTCAGTCTCTTGGTGATGACATTAAACATCAAAATGTTTGGAATTCGTTATCATAATGATACAGATGGAAATGTTTTTCAGTCACTTTGTAAAATAACTGAATATTTAGACGTTTAATAAATTTGTTACACATTTGACAGTAAAAAAAACCCACACTATAAAAAAAGCAATGCTCAGGTGAAATATGTACTTTGTGTTGCAAGTCAAAATAGTGTAAACGAAAATCGCACAATTACCAAGCAAGTGACTTATCAAAACTTCGTCACCATTACCGATGCTACCCACAAAGATACCTACATTTCCTTATTATCTCGAAAACTGTATTTCATTTTGTTCATCAATGTGACCATACGCCCTTATTACTACCCATAAAAGCGACTAATGCGCTTACGAATGGCGCAGCAGAGGTCGCGAACTAGTCTAGATTTCTGCTATACATCCAGGTACTCACTGGGAAAAAACAATAACAAAGGCAACAACCAGTCCCGGGGAATTGCGTTAGATCAGTGCCCCTTTAATATGAATAAAAATTCCTTTTAACTGTTTATAAAAGTAATAAAATTCATCACAAACTTAATTTATTGGTTGTGAATATCAGTCTAGTTTGAAAATTTGTGATGTTCCTGTCTCTTTTTTATAGGTCTTACGACTAATATATAGTATGCTGGATTAAAAACATATATCATAGCCAATAACTCAACTAAAAATGCCTTGAATTTTAGTGTTCCATATCAGAATGAACCTTGTGTGGATCTTTGTCCAATAGTGTCAGTATTAATTGGAGAATGTCATGCCTGTAATAGGTCATTGGATCAGACATGCAACTGGAAGTGCTTGCAACTTTAGTTTGATAAGAAGCATGTGATTAGTTTACTCATGTGTTTGTTGAAAGCAGAAGTTAAAACCAGAAACCAAAATTTATGCATTTTGCAGCAAGTTTGAGCTTGAGGTATTTTGAGTGATGGGGCAGTTTTCTAGCAGATGCTTGCACACTTTTATAAAAAAAATCAGAATGTATATCTTTCAGCAGATTTTGTTGTAAAAAAAAATTAAAATAAAAACAAATGGTCAATGGAATATATTTTTTTTATTACTCGCCTGTTGAAGATAACCAAGTGATATTACTGAAATTTTCAAAACTGCATGGAGTCTCACTCTTTCTCCAAAACAGGTGAGGTACAGAGCCAGCACTCTTATTTTTATCTTTGCAGAGACAATTTGCTGACGGCAAGCACACTTTTGCAGAGTATGACATATCCGGCATTGATGAGACCAATAATAGTGATCTTGTTGAAAACGGTGGCCTGTCATCCAACCTAACTTTCAATTCTTACCTGGCTCCACCGACCTCAGAGGACGAAGGGGATAGCGCCATCAGTGGCAAGTCATCAGAGCTTAATGATAATAGGTATGTACACAAGACATGCAATATGAATTCCTTGAATAACTTGAATTTTAAATCTCCTTTGCTTTGTACTAAGGGTAACTATTTTTGCAATTTTCACATATGGTTTTCTTGGACACAAAAAATAACTTCAATAAGTAATGGTTGTAGTGAAATTGGTTGCCCGTAGGATGACGAGAGTCGCCATATTTGCCTATTTGGCAAGTTTGTCAGTTATCCCTTTGATTGTCAAAGCAAAAGTAGTGATTGCTTCGGTTATGCAGGTAATTGCCTATTTTACTCTTCAAAAATGGAAGCATAACATCAAGTTCAGACTTAGATAATGCGTACATATGGTACAAGCAAGAACACATGATGATAATGTGTACACCAACTAGCTCTTATCTCATTAACAAACTGAATGGAACAACTGGGTAACGACAAAAAGGGGCTAACTCTCCCCACCGTTCTGCCAGCATCAGATACCCACACAATTTCATAAATAAAGTAAGACATGTGTCCACCTGCTGGCCAATGCTACATCGCAGCACTCTGCCACACAAGCTGAAATTGCATTTATTTCAAAAGTGAAAGGCTCAGCTTAATAATGTGAACATTTATGACAGGATTTCAGCCTTTGACTTGTCCCTAATAATCCGAACAACAAACAAGTATGTATTCCACACCACTGTTTATTGAGCAGCACGTGTAACAAGTATATAAACAATGTCATTCAAACACTAATTACAGTTCTACTCACTTACATAATCACTGATCACACCTGCAAGTCCATACAGTCCTGCCACCCACGCAACACAGTTTCTTTGTTCTTTGCGACTGCGTCAAAGGCCGACACGAGCCAGCGTGCATGTATTGTTTTTGTGGAAGTACTCTACTCAGCACTTATAGGCGGTGCTATTTGGTGTGTGATTGGATTAATGTAAGGTTGGATTAAGGTGAGGATTCTCCTGTAAACCTGACAGAGGACATTTTCTTTAGATATAAATCCACTGATGCTTGAGAGGAGGGGGGTGTCCCATTCATACTGAGTCGCATTTTTGGTTAGGGGCCAGTGGTCGCATTCTTTTGGAGACTCTTTAATTTCACGATTTACAGTATTTCTTTTGAAACATGCTATACAGATCAGTAAAGTGGTGCCTTTTGATGATTTCGGATTTTATTTGTTTTATGTTTTGTTTATTTTCATGACAACAAGTTGGATTTATATTGAAAATGAGGTTTGTGCCACAAACAACATGAAATGTATTACATAGCAGGAAGTTTTATTATATACAGATATTTATATAAACATTTACATAAACATTTGGCACAACATGGGGGCTGCCTCGGTTGCCTAAGAGACCCTGGGGTCGAAGTGACCCGGGTTGACACCCTGGGGTCGTGGAGACCCGGGTAAGATAACAACGTCCTGGGGTCTTATGGACCCGGACTGTGTAGCTGTGAGAGGGATATGCCGGTCCTGGGGTCCGATGACCCGGACGATCCCTAGAGTAAGCTAGTACTGGTCGTGCTGACCGGACAGTACCGAAATAGCGTAAGTTCTTTGGGGGCCACAAGCCTTCCATGCTCTGAGTATGGAGTGGCTTATGACGCCCGAGGCAGCCCCAGGAGATAAGGTATCTACGCAATATATATATATATATATATAGGTAGCCTGATAAACAGCCGTGGAATGGACGCCAATACATGAGTACTAGCGAATGTACAAAGAACCACGTTCGTGATGCTCGTGAATACATTAGGCCATGAACGACAGGAGGAGCTAAGGGGTGGCTGGAGGGTAACGCAGTTGAGTGGCTTGCGACAATGTAGAAAGTAGCCTCGTGCGGGGCTGCAGGGTTAATAAAGGTAAACACTGTGACGTCATGTCCGTCTTACTGGGCATGCGCAGACTGTTTAGAAGTGCATTGTGGGATGTAATTACTGTAACATGATCCAGACGGCATAAACAACACGTTCGGGCGACAGAGTTCAGAAATCGTGTTGAATATAAACGTAATGAGGTGATTGACCTGTAATTGGTATATTAAATATGAACGTGTAAGTACTGTTGTTGTTGCACAAACTAAAATATCCAATTACCATTTTGTGCCACAAACAACATGAAATGTATTACATAGCAGGAAGTTTTATTATATACAGATATTTATATAAACATTTACATAAACATTTGGCACAACATGGGGGCTGCCTCGGTTGCCTAAGAGACCCTGGGGTCGAAGTGACCCGGGTTGACACCCTGGGGTCGTGGAGACCCGGGTAAGATAACAACGTCCTGGGGTCTTATGGACCCGGACTGTGTAGCTGTGAGAGGGATATGCCGGTCCTGGGGTCCGATGACCCGGACGATCCCTAGAGTAAGCTAGTACTGGTCGTGCTGACCGGACAGTACCGAAATAGCGTAAGTTCTTTGGGGGCCACAAGCCTTCCATGCTCTGAGTATGGAGTGGCTTATGACGCCCAAACGAGGTTAGCAACCGAGAGCCCCCAAAGAATTAATATAGGTAAATAACATGAATATGGTACTTAGTGATGGTGACACATAGCCTTGTGGGCTTGCCCTAAGGTGGAGTCGGACGTCTTGATATACTTGGCGTAACAGTCCGACGTCCACCTGCCCATAGTCTTAATTAGGTGATCCTCGATGTGCACGGTGGCCGCCGTGGTAGCTGCTCCTATCCGGAATGAGTGCCCGGAGTAGTCGGCAGAGTTGTAGCCAGTCAACGTGAGGACCCTATCTAACCATGACAAAAACACAGTCCTGGATATTGGTAGATAGTCCCGACTGACGAACAGCGGATCCTGGTATGCAGCCCTGCACTGCGTTCTAATGGAATACAGTTTTGACAAGGCCGAGTAGGGACATGTCATAGTGTCAGTAGCGAATAAGGCAATGCGAACGCCTAGTCGGAAGGGATCAGTCTTAGACACTTTTAAGGTTATAACACATGTTCTTTTATGATGTACAAAACTAATGTCGCTCATAGTTATGTTCCTACTGGGATCAAAGTTGGCTGAACATGTGAGTTCACCGCATCTCAAGAATCCGAAGAACGCTGCAAGACACATACATTCCATTACCAAATCGTTGAAAGGACCGAACACGCCATCCCTGAGCCGCTTGATGATGTTACGTAGCACATGGTAAGTGATGGGGAGTCTCTTCCTCCGCTCTGGTGTGTGGGCCCGTTTGTATCCTCTGAGTAGAGTTTGAATCCGATTTAGGGCACCTGTGGAGACATCGTCAAACAGTGTCCTGATGCCCGCTTGTAGGTACGTAAATCTGATTCCCGCCAGATAGGTCTTCACGGTGTCATGTGAGAGTTTGAGGATGCCGAAGCAATGTGCAAGGAAGTACTGAAGGTAGGCATCGTTAACTGGTGGCAGGCCGCTGCTGGCACCCAGTGTGGTGAACAAACTGAACTTTAACATGAACTTTAGGTAGCACTGGAATCCTGTAGAATATGCTGTTCTTGTTTGTCGACTGATCGCCGCTGACCACAGGGTGTCGAGGTGACGATTCAGGTCCACGTCACTTGTGAGCTGGGTGGGCAAGGCGTTGGATGGAGGTCTGCGTGGGGCGCCAGGGCTCGGAATTTCCTGAACTGCAAACGGGAAAGTGCATCAGCAATGTTATTTTGTACGCCTGGAACATGTTCCGCTAACACAATAAAGTTATTTACAGCTGCTTGCCATGTAAGGGTCCGCATCAGAGCCATAATGTCCATACATTTTGATCGACCCTTTTTGATAATACCCACAGTAGCTATATTGTCACAATGAAACAGTACTCTCTTCCGTGTCCAATGTCGTCCCCAGAGAATGGCTGACACCACAATAGGATAAAGTTCCAACCAAGCAATTGATTGTGCTGAGTCTCGACTGTTTATAACGTCCTGCGGCCACGCCTGGGCGAACCATGCCCCATCGAAATATCCCCCGTGTCCTACACTTCCGGCTGCATCCGTATACAGATTGAGATCCGGAGCTGATGTGATATGGTCGTCATGGAAAAACGAGATGCCATTCCACTGGTTCAGAAATTTTTTCCACATGTGCATCTCTATCCGACATTGCTTAGATATTCTGATATGATGATGCAACTTGACCACAGTGGTCGACAGTCGAATCAGGTAAGATAGGAAAGATCTGCCTGGTACTACCACTCGACAAGCATAGTTTAAATGCCCTAACAAAGACAGCAACTCTCTTTTCGTACACTTAGTCCGAGTAGAAAATGATGTTAACATATCCGCTATCCTTGTCAACTTGTTCTCTGGTAACCTCGCTGTCATCGAGACTGAGTCCAAGATGATGCCCAGGTATTCTAAACAAGTTACAGGTCCTTCAGTCTTGTGCACGGCGAGTGGAATTTGTAGTTTGTCGAACAGGGTTAAGATGGCGTCCATAGTTGTGCTAGCTTCATAACCGGGAGGATCGATAGTCAGAAAATCATCTAACAGATGCAGAATGTTTTTAACGCCGTAGTTGTATTGCAATATCCAGCACACGGCTTGTGATAGGGTATCGAAAATCTTTGGACTGGATCTGCACCCGAACGCCAATCTAGTGTAGAAGTAGTACCTATCGTCCCATCGGAAACCAAAGAACGGCCAGTACCTGGGGTGCAGCGGGATCTGTTTGAATGCGTCGGTGATGTCCACCTTACACATTTGTGCACCATGTCCCAGTTGCTTAATCACTGAAATAGCATAGTCTATGGTCACATACGAGAGTGAAGCAGATTCTTTACTAATGAGGTCATTAATACTTGCGGTATGTTCCAAGTTATGAGGGGCTGACAGATCAAGGATTAGCCTCTTCTTGCCCGAGTACTTGCCCGTGGCAACTCCTAAGGGGTTAATTCTGTACACAGGGTATGGAGCTCGCTTGAAAGGTCCGATAACGTATCCTTTATCGACTTCTGTTTGCACTGCCTTAGTCACAACTATTGGATCCAATGTAGCGCTACGATTGTTGTTACATTCCGTTGTTGACTGTGGAACCTCCGACATTAAGGGGTCGAATCCATGTTGCAAGCCGTTGACGAGATATGTAGCAAATGGAGGATGGGGATGAGAGTCGAGTTCTGCCTGTATAGCCTGAACATTGATGGGAGTGAGTTGGACTGTTAAGGTGCCTGCGTCCTCCTCTCTGGTTATATCCGGGAAAGTTAGTCAAGCTTGGTTGTCCCGTCTCGATTTGGGAGCCTTGGCGCAAGTTGCCTGTCCGTGGTTTGGGGCATGACAATTGAGACATACATGAAGGTATGCACAGATCACTCTCACACAGCCCTGGTGATTGAAATTATTGCAGACCTCCCTTCCATTTGACCTAACTCTAGGTCGTCCCCTGGTGTCGTTGTTGTCCGTCGCCCCCATCCTGTCGGAGCTGCCACGTCGGTCCGAGAACAGGGTAGGCCTAGCTGTATCAGTACGTCGCTCAGGACACAAGTCAGTACCATGGGTGATGCTGTGGCAAATCGCACACGATCTGGAACGGCGCCCCGAAGAACACAGCCCGTACAGACGTGTGTCCCTCATATCCCAGCGAATGCTGCAACCTTGTTCTGCGTAGGACGCCACTCTGGCAGCAAATAACTTGTGGTAGTCGTAGTGCGCAGAGCCCCCATACAACGTAGCCAGTTCGATGACAGTTTGCTCGTGTCCATCCAATTGTTTCCGTTTGGCGTTATTGATGTCACACAGAATGTCCTTGTAAATGCCAAAGGCCTGTATAAATTCTGCTAGTGTAAGAGTGCGATTTAGCCTAGCATCCTCCTTTAAATGATACACATTGCCATCGTACTCGGCCATTCTAGCGTCTAGCGTGTCTTGATTAGGTATCAATAGCAATGCCAGGTTACAGTACTTGCCGTCTTTAATCTTCTTCTTGAGCGCCGGCGCGACTGTGTGGATGTGGGGCAGCGAGTCCGACGGCACGTCATGGCTGAGTTGATCCGGTTGGCTTGTAGCTGGGTACTCGGTGGTCACTGCGTTATGGCTGGTCATGTTGGCTATCATGTGTTTCAGCTCTGCAAGTTCGCGTTGTAGACTGGCAACACTAACAGGTGACACGGAATTGGTAACATCGTCCCCGAAGTCCGAAACAACACTGTAGGGTAGCGTGGTCCCGCTAACGAGGGCATCTGGGTTCCTGTGCTGTATGCTGGCTTCGACCCCCCCCCCCGGGAGTGTGGCCGCCGGAGACGAAATGGCACTCGGGTCATAACTGTCCGACGAGGTCACCGTTGCTGCTGCTGGCCGTTGTTGCTGGTTTTCTTGGAACAGCTGCAACAAGCTTTTCCTAGGCCAATTATTTGGGACCCTCACGCCCCGCTCTGCCAGTTGTTTGCGTAGCTGGGCCACGGTCAGATACGGTTGACTGCTGATTCTCCCTGTAGTACGACTGGCACTGGCAGCAATGGCGCGGGGTTCGAGGCTATCCGGATTTTCTTCAGGCTGTGCGGAGTCGAGAACATTAACCCGATTGCGCTGACTTCTGGCTCGTCTATGTCTCCGCTCCGCCATATTAATCTTGGTTAGCTGAGTATCGCAAAACCTGAGATCGGATGGCTTGACTGGACTCGTGATTTAGCACCGAAGCAGATGAAATTTAACGCAGTTGAGTGGCTTGCGACAATGTAGAAAGTAGCCTCGTGCGGGGCTGCAGGGTTAATAAAGGTAAACACTGTGACGTCATGTCCGTCTTACTGGGCATGCGCAGACTGTTTAGAAGTGCATTGTGGGATGTAATTACTGTAACATGATCCAGACGGCATAAACAACACGTTCGGGCGACAGAGTTCAGAAATCGTGTTGAATATAAACGTAATGAGGTGATTGACCTGTAATTGGTATATTAAATATGAACGTGTAAGTACTGTTGTTGTTGCACAAACTAAAATATCCAATTACCATGTTGTGGTTGTTTCCGGAGCAGTCCTGCAATGCACAAAACCTTTGAATATTTATGGATGAAACTTGCTGAACAGCTCAGCTTAGTGGTGAACTGGGGTCTTTTGATGATTTGGGTTTTTATTTTTTTAATGTTTGTATGATGAGACTTTATTGAAAATGAGGGTAGTGCTTGTTTCTGGACAGAACTTCAGAACCATTGAATAATTCTTGATGAAATGTGCTATGCATATCAGTCTAGTGGTGAACTGGTGTCTTTTGATGATTTTGGATACTGAAAAATATTGAACAGCATTATTGTTGTCTTCACTGAACTGAAGGTATCCAATGGCAGTGAACCAATAGTTAAGTTTAAGTAGCCAAACTCCATTTCTGAATTGCACCAGACAGGGGGGATGTGTCTCCTCCTGATGACTCTTGGTTTTCTTAGGCAAGTTCAAGAATTATATTGTAAGTATATTATATGAAAAGGATATGGAATAGAATTCCTGATTTAGAGGAGGCAGATATATGTATATCTCTCCCGCCTCCAGGGGTTTTATCGACCTATGGAAATATTACAGAACATGGTTTACAGGATGCTGACTGGTAATAATATCAAACAACATGGAAACAGTTGAAAAACCGGAAAAGTAGCACATGTTTTGTTTAAGTTACTTCCAGATTTATTTCTGAGGAATGAACAAAAAGAGTTGATTAAATATATTTATGATTTTGTTGTCAGCCGCCAGGAAGTAACCGATGAAGACAACTATGAAGATTATGGGGAATCAGAAGCAGATGTATCAGATCAGGGATTACTGTAAGTACATCAAATCTAAGTCACAACTCTTCAAAAATGGAATGCTCTTTACTAACCCCAGCGTGACCCCAATGCAATGGTTTAAAAAGTCTTGTTGGATCTACTGGTTGTAGTTATTAGAAAACGTTTGTTTGCACTGTCTTCAGCAATAGTTAGTAGTTAGTATGGGGAATTAGATCACCCTAATCCTTGACCAGGTCAGATGCAACTCCACCCTGGATTTCTGTATAAGACCACAAACACTGTCCTGTATGTTGACCTGAGAACACTAAATAAGAAAACATATCTTTCTTTTTCATTAGTTCATTATTTACACTGCAGTCATCCATAATGCAGATTGTTTGATTTTCTTTCAATGTGTCATGAAATAATTGTAACCAGTCCTGTAAGCGCTCACCAGGGTCAACTTTGTATACCTCAGGATCCTTCACCATTCAACCTCTAGATAGGTATGTTATCGAGTATAGTTGGTCTTGTAATCATGATGTGCTTGAAACATTTATGATAATGACCTTGTAAAATATTGTGGGTAAAGGCTGTTTTGCCACAATCTGTTTGCCCACAGATGATGGCACAATGAGGGTTTTGCGTTAAAATCTCAATAGATGCTTGCACAAACCTTCTTCGTTCAGTTGTGCGTGCATAATCACATGCAAATATAATTTTAATTTAGATGATGTCTCTGCGTTCTTAGTTATCTGTATGGTTACATCCTAGCTTGCATTCTGCGTTCTTTGTCCGCTACCATGTAACTGATCAGCATCTGTTGTCCTCATGTCGAGCCTCAGCGTGTACTTTGAGGTTAGAAGTGAGTGAGGTAAAATTTAACGTTGCATGGGCATTATTTGAGCCATATATACATGATACAGTGACTTGAGGTTAGGAATTTGGCTAGTGAGACGTCTGCTAGACACCAGTTCCTTGACAACCATGGAAACCTGGGATAACGTTTTATAGCTGGGAGGTTTTTAACCTCATCCCTCTGTTGATATGCCTTCATGCCTTCACTGTATAATTGGTTGGGCACACCCTCAATAATCACTTCTACTTTGCTAAATTGAGGGTTGTAAAGTATCACAGATTCTCTGGAATATACTTTACCAGAATTTAGATGTTCCATAGGGTTTCACTTTTGTCCTTTTGATTTGTTCTGTGTCGCAGTACCTGATCATATAGGATGGTCATGCAGCCATTAAAATGACTGCGGATATGTCTTGCCAGTTCAGGCTCTGTTGCCATTTCAAACCCCAGGGAGATGTTATTAATGGTATACTGTAGTCATTGAAAGTGCGCTGAGGAACTATGCTGTCCACATGGAACTCATGACATTGTGTCAAATTGTCATGACATCTTTCCTGTTGGAGGATGTTAGACTTCCATGTGCATTCCCTAAATGAAACCTTTTGATTGTACTTTAGACTCTTTTGGGAGATCCTTTTGAACCTTTGGCATCAGCTACCCTACTAAAAAAACCAAGAAAACAGCCTTTCAATTATTTATGGCCACAGCAGCAAGAGTATTTGAACTTCATGCTCTCGATTTTTCCAGTCCCACTCACTCAGAGGATTGGGGCGGTCGGGTAGCCTAGTGGTTAAAGTGTTCATTCGTCACGTAGAAGACCCAGGTTCGATTCCCGACATGGGTACAATGTGTGAAGCCCATTCTGGTGTCCCCCGCCGTGATATTGCTGGAATATTGCTAAAAACAGCGTAAAACTTCACCCACTCACTCACTCAGAGGATTGGAATTCATTTACAATATGGACGCTCCCAGAATTTGTGGTATAGAACCAAGCTGCGACTCTTGGATGACTTGGTCATCAACAATACACAATTACTTCTCTCAGTAAGCATTCAGAACATGGTCAAAAGACCGCTGGTCATGGGTGCCCCTGAATACTGATACAAGTTGATTTCCAGCAGCTTCCAGTGCTTGTATCCCAGTCAGAAGACCATTGATTTCATCTGGATTGGACACATTTCAAGTCCTTCTTTCGACATATTGATAGCTCCTTGGCTGTTCACTTAGATTGCAGCTCTGATCATCAGTTTTGTGCATATCCATCTAGTTTGGCTACACAGATATATCCCCCAGTGGGGACCCAGGGTAGATAAAATGTGTTCTCAGCACCCTATTGCTGGTCGTAAAAGGCGCCGTGGGTTGCATCCCTGTGTCAGTGGAGGACAGGAGTCTAGTGGTTGAGGGCACTGGTTCCAGGAATAGTGTTCCTTTGCCCAATACTCAACTTTGACCCTTACTTCGCCTAGATGGGTTTTAGGGTGGCCCCGATCCTATCAATCGGCTGGTCATGCCAAGCCCTGAGCACTTTACTTTTCTTCGAATTGTATGAATAACCAATTATACTAATTTTCAAATATTTTTGGGTTAAATTTAAAATTTGCCTAGATGCCAGTGCCAGAAGGCTCATGGGCCAATCTGGTAGTATGTATCTTTCAGGGATGTGAAATCTCCGCGGAAACGGGGAAAATTGTGTTTTTTAAAATAGTAGTCCTCGGGGGAAAAATCATCTTCCGCGTAAAAATAGAATCGTGATTCCGGACAACCATCGCGCATTGTCCTATTTTCGATCAGAGCTTTCAGCATCACGTCAATGTTAATCAATCTTTATTTCGTACTCTAGAGACCACAGGCCTTTAGTACATAATACAATTCAACATAATTAATATTACAAAAGAACATTAAATTGAAATAAATTATCTCCCACATATATAATGCTCATTTTATTCGGGCATAGATAGTATTTAATTAAAAGCATGGTAAATAAACATCGATAAATTCTTTACAACCTCTGTTCTCTCACATTTTAATAAACTTATAAATTTACGTATGTTTGGTTCTCTGTAATAGTATTTTGGTAAGTATTTTATTCTTAGTTCTAAATATAAAGGACATCTGATAAGGAAGTAATACTCGTCTTCTATTTCATTTAAGTTACACATGTTACATTTTCTTTGTTCTCATGGGGTATTTATATATCTGCCTGTTTCAATATGTAGATCATGCGACATGCAACGAAACCGTGCCAATGCTTTTCTATATTTTGGTATGATAATATCAACGAGATAGCATTCTCTATAAATGTAAGATTTAAAAAGTTTATAATAAAAGTGTTTATTTGATAATGCTAAGGAAACATTCCATGATTGTAAATAAATATCTTTTAGTCTTTGTTTCAGTGACTGGATAAACTCAGCAGTATTATTGACCCGTTGATCATACCAAACATTACCAAAACCAGATTCAAATAAGAGTTCTCTAACACCAGTTGCCCAGTTTCTTTTACCATTTGAATCAAAGAACAATAACATATTATAACACTTTTTTGGAAATCTATACAAAGGCATATTTAAAATTCTTAACCAATATTTGATAACTTTAATATATATGCAAAAATATACAGTGGATAGTGACCACAATCACCATAAACCATAACCCCGGGTGTATTATTAACTTTTACACTTAAATATTTCTTACATGCATACAAGTGAATCTTTTCTATAGCATCTACTTTTGAGAGTCCCCAAATCTCTGCACCATACAATAAAATTGGACTTATTTTTACATCAAAAATTTTTAAAAGTGTATTTTAATCAAAGTTTAGACCACATGCATTTCGTTGTATACCAATGAATACCTTTTGGGCTTGTAAGGATGCTTGGCTTACATGATATGTCCATGAAAGACGGTTAGTAAAATACACTCCTAAATATTTAAAAAACTTGTTATCTCCAATTGGTTACCTTTATAGTACCATTTTTCATATTTTGATAAATTACCACCGTTTTTAAAAACAATTTTTTTTGTTTTATTTCTATTTACATTCAATTTCCATTCATCACAATACTTTTCTAACTCATTACTTTGTGACTGTAGACCTTGTAATTGGGGAATCAAGGATATCAGCTACAATTTCATCAGTTTCGTCGTTGTCTCATCCTCATTTACATTATCATTACATTCTAAAAATGACGCTTTCTCATTCTGATGTGACATATCATACATATTTTTGAAATGACAATACCAGTCATCAATACTTATGTTATTCATGCTTTTTAATTCTGACCAAAACAGTTTTGAATTATTTGTATTTTTCTCTAACCTTTGTTTCCTCTCCATTAAATATTTATTATACCCCTGACAAAATGTCGGGGGTATATAGTTATACCAAGGTTCCGTCCGTCCATCTGTCCATCCGTCCTTCCGTCTGTCCGTCCGTCCGTCCGAAAACTTTGTCTGCGCGATTTCTCTTAAACTATTCAGTGGATTCATCTCAAACTTAGTACATATAATCTGTGTCATATGGAGGGGTGCAGTCAAAAGAAAAAAATTGTTTTTATTAATTTTCCATCTTTTTATGAATTTTTCAAACCCTAAGTTACCCTATCCTAGCTATTTAATTTGTAGCTACTGACACACTAGGCGGGTCGGGGGTATTAGTGAGCCACGCTCACTTTTGCACTTGTTTTGTTTATATTTACAGATGGCAGTATATTTGTTTCTAGCGGCATGATATTCTTTTAGGTTACTTTCATTTTTGCAATTTCTAAATCTATTTAAATATTTACATCTTTCTTTTTTAAGCATTTCACACTCGTTATCAAACCATGGATTTCTTTTCACCCTTTCTCTAACTCGACTTACTTTTCGTTTCATATCACTAGCATAGAGCATCTGCAATAGCATTAACACTTTTGTTTATATCAGAAAATACAAAATCGACACATTTATCCAGAAGCTTTGGGATATCGTCTGTAAGTAAATTCTCTCTGAATGTGTTTAACATATTATCATCCCAAACAAACTTATAGCTATTATATGCGCTTGCACGCGTAGAGTATGTCAGAGTCTAAATCAAATATGTCTTTATCAAACAATATATAAATTGCATTGTCTAATACTTTTGTCCAAATGATATATTTACTCAAATCTCTTCTTACCAAAACTGCAATACCACCAGAGAGCCTGCCAAACTTAGCAAG